ACTTAAATATTATAATAATAAAAAAACATACTTTGCAAAACTCACCAGTCTTTTTTCACCCAGGCTCAAACATGTTTAAATTGATCAACTTGCTTTGCTAGTTGTTTGGTGCATTAAGGTACTGAACAACCAACCTCCAGTTCTCTTGATACTTGGGTCAACAATTGGCTGCATTGGGTCCCTCACCTTTTTCCCCTCATCTGAAGTGAAGGGCAAAGCTCCTGTTCACTTCTGGATTCTGATCTGGCAGCTTTATATATGGACATAAGCAGATAAACAGAAACTCCTTTTTGTGTGCTTAAGCTTTCAAATCAGCTCCAGATTGTGACTCTGGAGAGTCCCAGGTGATTTTCAGGTTATAATCACTTTGAGGCTTGCTGGCTTCATGTTTCTGTCTGGTTTCTGCTCTGTGTAGGCTTTACTGGAACATTGCTTAAAATGTGTGTGTGCGTGTGTGTATGTATATATTTGTATATACAAAGGCTTTGCTTGAAGTCTTTGAGAAGCTGTGGCAAATAGGTGGACTGTCTATGCAAGAATGTACTAGGGAGGTCAGCACAAGCCTCCTGAAAGGCGATAACAAAGATGAAGTGACAAAGATAAGGTGAGGTGACACAATATCTATATAATTCAGATGGAAAATGAGTGCTCCAATCGGGGTGTAAGAGCACCCTATAAGCTGTATAGAAGAACAGTTGTCTGTATGCATAGGACAGGGTTTGCGTTGGTGTGTTGTCATGGACATTACACACAAACCATGCACGCATAAAAAGCAGGAGTTAGGACCCTTTGTAGAGAGTATACCTAACTCAGCCTTTGCCACTGACTTGTGCCTAAAATAATTCTCTGAGACAAGATTAGTGCCGCAGTGCCCAGCGTCTAATCAGATTTTAGTGCCACGGTAGACTTGAGCTGACCACATGTGCACAGTAACAGCACCTAACAGCTAAAAGGACTTCAGGGAGCCAATCTGCATCTGGCCAACTTCCTCACAGGCAGAGGAGCAGGGCTGCTTAGGCAACTAATTTAATGTCCCACTTCTGGATCGTTATAATGTAATACAGAGGAAGTATGATGTGCCTGAAAGATCTCCTGACTGATCAGGAGCCTCCTGGTGGTAGCTGAAAGGAAATGTTGGGTTAAATCTGATAATGTTTCTATGAGTTTAGAAATATAGTTTGGCTTACTGATAGTTGGCACAGGTCTCGGGATCCAGAGTGAGCACTTTTAGTTGGCTTTTGAGAGTATTGAGTCCAATTCCCTCCCTAAAAGAAGGCATTAGTGCTCCAGCCCATCTGTGCCTGCTTAGCAGTGGACAACTTGACTTCAGTCCCTCTCCAGCCTGAAGGAGGTTCAAGCCAATAGAAAGTACGCCAGTTGTCAGACCACAGGCTCGAGGGGGTGAGACACACTCTGCCTTAATAGCTAGGCCTTTCTACAAACCTTCTTATGCTATTTTGATCCTCATTTTAGGTATATTTATGGGACTGGGCCTCCCTTACCTGATTTTTGACTGATAGCAGCTCCTCCAAAGAAGGTAAACCACCTTCTGCTCAGCTGTGGGTTGTGAGTGTGGGCAGCAGCAGGATTGCAGGTGACAGAGCTCTGGCTTAAGGCTCTAAATCCAGCTCATTCTGGCTCTGGGCATACAGTGCTGGACTTCGATAGAATTCAGGTGTTTAAGCAGGAGACCTTAGAAAAAGTCATACCCATCAGAAATATAGCTTGAGTGGAGCCTATATTTTAAATTCTTAAGCTGGCTACTTTTAAAGTTGGGAGAAATCAGTAATTGAGAAGTCCATTAATTTTTGTTTTAAAACTTCCATGGTTCACCGTGCCTCTGAACGTGTGAAGAGCTGTTGCGTATTCCAGACATTGTTCTATCCGTTGTTATATTTTTATCTGCTTATTCAGTGTGAAATACAGAAACATTTCTGTGAGATGAAGTAAACCCAGAACTATAACTCTAGCAGTTGCTTCCTAACTAGTGGACTGCCTATTAAACTTTTTCTTACCCTAGATCCCTTAACCCTAACGTTTGCTCAGTGAGCAGCCATTCCCATAGACACTCAGGCACACCAATATCATATGAATGACTCCCTTGTGCAAGAGACCTTTTCATATGTACATTCACAATTGCCTAAGGACTAGGTTCAATTTTTAAAATTAAGTCCTCTGTTGTTAGGGGAATGTAGGGTCTGCTGTATATTTTACTGGAAAAGTTTCACTAGTGAACCTGACTGTAAGGTATAGATTAAAGCCAACCCATGTGAGCCTTTCTCACCAGAAGAATGAAAACCTGAATAAAACATGTATGTCATCTTAGTTTAATAAGCTTTGTAGGTGATAGATACACAAATTTTAAAATTATTTAAATATTATAGTTATAAGAAATCAAGTAACAGTAAGCTTCTGCTTTTTTAAATATGCAATTGGTAATGCTTGGAACTATTTAAGCAACCTGTTATCCAACGGTAAAAATTTATGAAGGACAATATGTAAAAACCCTGGAGACTTCCTAGAAGAAAAGCAGGAAAAGCTAATTATACTGCCTGCTTTCACATTACATTCACACGTTGAAGTGCAATGAAGAAACCTCATCCGTTCCTTCAGAAACAAGCAACAGTTAGTAGAAACAGATTATTTTACATCTTTCTTCTCTCTTGTCCCCCAATACACTTCTTAGGCTACTTTGAAATAAAATTTCTGCAGCTAGAAAACCATAACCAGAATGCTTGTGTTGGAGTCATAATACATTAGGTTATGATAGCGCACTGTACAGATGGCGTTCAGCATGGTACAAGTGGCATGTTACTGATAACTGTCATTGATATTGCATTGCCAGATTTGGTAAACTGGTATCAAGTCACCTGGAGCAAAAACAGTGATCTAAGTAATGCAGTTGGTCTCTTTTTAATCTCTCTCTTATCTGGATCTCAGAAATTTTGGGAACTACTACAATTAAGAGCCTACCAGCCATGGATGGGGTAACTCATGTTACGCCCAATTTGTTACATATGACAAAGCTGAGATGCAGTGAAGACCAGGTTACAAAAGGTGCTAGGGATATTAAGTGATTAGAAACAAGAGTTCCTTATCTTAAGTCTTGTGATGTAGCTAAAATATAATCTAGGAAAACAATATTACTCCTACTTCATTTTCTTCCTCTTGCAGCAGGGTCTTGCATTAGAAAAACCTTTAATTTATTCTAGATAGGATCATATATATTACCCTGTGTGTGTATGTGTGTGTGTTTATAGATATAAACTCCTATTACTTGGATCCATTGTTCATTTGTTTTTTGGATAACAGCTATTGTTTTGTTTTTAACAAAATAACTAGTAGATTTTGCTGAAGTTTAAACTACTTTTTTTTTTAGTTTTAATTGGGCATAGTGCTTGATTCTAGTGTAATCATTTTGTTAGATTGTTCAAATTCCATGCACTCTAAACTGATCATTAAGATGAGCCAAGTAGCCTCAAACTTTATCATCAAACTTGATTGGCACAACAGCTAGATATAAGGTTGCTTGCGTTTTGGATCCTGAGCAATGTAAAGAGCCACACATCCTTCTGTTCTCTTCCAGCAGTACCTTGAAAATGGAAAGACAGATGATCCAAAGTATTTAAAAACTCCACCCAAAATGGCAATAAAAATATTTATGCTGCTAGAAATGTAGAGGAATATGAGGTGCTGTTCTGATTACATTTATTTCCTTTCCATATTGGTATATTTTGTGAAATTTCAGGGAATTAGTCTCCACCGTCACTAGTATAAGTCAACCATGAAACACTGGGGAAGAACATAGTTCTACTTATGAGTGAACCTAGGGGAAAGGTTTATATTCTGATCTCGGTCACTGAAAGACTGAAACAAAATCATCTCAGTGAGTACGTTTTAGTGATGTGTGCATTTAAGAATTCAAGAGTGAGGACCACAAGGCAAAATTACTTTTATATTAGCCATTTTTATGTCAGTTGCACAGGTGGCCAGAGATCAAAATCAGTGTACCACAGTGATACACACAGTAAGACTGCGCCTGCTGTATAGATCCTATAATCTGAAAGGTCTTAATCTGGTCTTATAATGCATTGCATTATACCAGGATTTTGAAAACATGGTTTCACTGGTTGGACTGCAGGACTGGGTCTTAATTTAAGATAAGTGATTTATAAAAGTGGTGGGAGGTAACAGTAGAGGGAGGAGGTGGCTACATGTCGGAATCACAGTTATAGAGAACAGTTCTGTGCACAGTTGGATGGTTTCATCTCTTTCAGTGATTTATTTTTTTTCTTTAGTGACGTATGATATATAGAAGGTGCAAATATCAGAACTACTACTTATTAGATTGGTAATTTCCTGTAGGAAAGAAAGTCAAGTCTATAATTTGATTTTAATCTTCTGCATTGCGTTACCAGTAAGTGTACATCATTGTTCATCTTTTTCATGGTGGGCACTCTATCAGCCCATGCCACTTCTCACAGAGTTGGCAAGTACTTTCTCATTACATTCTCTCTGGAAACTATTTTCACCAGTTTTTCCTTCACATATGCCTTGTGATTATGGAACAGCCCTATGCATCCTACTCCAGAGAGAGTTGTGTGTTTGGTCTGGTACTCAAATACCTACTGTACCTATATGTTGATTAAGGCTGGTATCAAGCTTAGAGGATCTTCTGTGATTGCTGATTGGTGTATTAGCTCCATCTACCCTTATGCAGGGCCTTCTATACACTGTGTTTTTTAGCAGTTTTTCTTTTATTTGTTACCTTTTCCCAGGTTTATTGTAGGAGGTTAGTTAGAATGAATGTCTGGCTTTATTTCTTCCTCAAGACACCTCTGCCTTGAGGAATAATATAACCTATTGCAAATCCTGCATTCACAGAGCCTGTGTGTTTCTGCACCAGTTGAAGCCCAGTCTGGTATGGACTGAATAAACAAAATTTATGCTGTCAGGGTCTGGGAAGTCATGTATCGAACCACTCGCTCATCTCTACTCACACAGACTGGGCACGGACAAGCAGGCTGTCACCAGCAGCTAGAGTCAGGGTTTTACCATCCATGGTAACAGTAGATGTGCCCTCCTGAAGGGAAAAAACAGAGAGCCAGCTTTTAATTTTTCATGTACTGTCACTAGCAGAAAGAAAATGCTGCTGCTAAGTGCAAAATTCTTTCCTACAGAAAAAGTGCTTCAAACCTGTTCTGTTTTATGAGGCTTCGCGAAAACGTCAGCAGATATTCCCTGTCTGACAATATTAGCATCAATAAAAACATGCTTCATGGTTCACTGTTCGCTGCGATAAAGCTGCAACCCATTGCCTGGTCCCTTGGGGATACACTGCTAACAATCTAACCTAGCAGCCTGCAAACTGGCACGCCTCTCTGGAAGTCACAGGGCTTACCTCCTGGAGTATTTCAAGTTCCTTTTTAACTTTTTTGATTCCTAATACCTTTCTAAGTCTTCAAAAGCAGTTCACAAGTCAGCAGGGAGCTGACAGAAATTGCTAATAGGAGTCCATCTACACTGCAATGGACTCATCGTTATCTTGTCAAGCAGCAGAGCCAGATTCTTGCCAGCAAGAACAAGGTCGTGCTTGCAGAGGCTGCTGTAAACTGCAGCATAAAAAGAAGTGTCCTTCAGAATTATTATGTCTTTAATTAGTATTTGATAGTCCCTGTGAATTTGAACAGAACAGGAACTGACAGAAATGTCTGGCTTAAGCCAGCCTGACTTGTGTGCCTGGAAACTAGCTTTCCTCTGTTTGTTTTCCCTGAGGCTGCAAATCTGTTTCCTACAAGGTTGTGTGCCTGGAAACTAGCTTTCCTCTGCTTGTTTTCAGTTAGTTGAATGAAGGGCATCTGGATCACTTACTGCTCTGCTTTTGTATAAACAAGCTTTCAGTTAGATTTTCATTAGCTTGGTCTACAGCTTACCTGTTACCAGTAGAACTGCAGTATGAGGGCAAACGCTTCAAGGAAGAGGTAATAGATGACACTTTTTATCACTCACAGGCATTTTGTATTTTAAAGATATATGCTGGTAGGAATCAAAACCCTCACCAAGACCTGATGAAGGATAGCAGTGGCTCTGTTTTGAACGTATAAGGTGATTAAAAAAGAGGGACTATTTTTAAAGCAGCAATAGTTTACAGCTATTTCTATCAATAGTTTGCTGAAGAAGGGTGGTGTCTGCAGCTGATGTCTCCTGTGAGAAGGAAGTTAATCATTTTAGGTTTTGCTGCCTGTGCTAGGAGGCTTTACTACTGTTCAATTTACCCTGAGTGTCGTGGTTAACAGTCGTGTGAATTGTCACATACCAGCTGCCATATCCAGATATCTGAATTCTTTTTGCTTTTTTCAGTTATTCCTGGTCCGTAAACTATAGCCTAAAAGAAAGAGGGGGAAACATGGGAAGAAAAGTAATGGATTCATCTCAGTAACTGAAGTGTACGTGTTCATCTTCCTACAGCATCTAAAATATTCTATTTTTAGAGAAAAATGTTCAAAGAATATGACGTTATTTTTACAGACATTAAAATTCACATTATGTTTGCTATTCTCTTATTGATCCCTGCTGATAAAAAGGGAACTGATCACACCTGCCATTCCTTATGCTCCTCTGCATCCTCACTTATCTATTCCTTCTGCCTCCTCCCACTCTCAGCTTAGCATCTATATCCTCGCCTGCTTCTGTTCTTGGAATAGGCACTTCCTCCTCATGAACTCTGGGCCCCATCAAGAGCCTGGTGAAGTCAAAAAGATGTTTCTGCTAGCATTGGAAAAGCTGCAGATTGGACTGACTTTTCCCATTATTATCTGTCCTTTCTGTATTGACCCTCTGCCACTTTGCTGTCAAATGTATTGGATTCCTCAGAGTGTGACTTTGAGCAACCCAAGGAAAGAACGTTTTGTAAACTATCATGCATACAGAACAGATATCAAAAGGTAGCAGCTTCGCTTACACCTGAACAGTGCTTGACTAGACTGAGAAGGGCAAAATGCTCTAACACAGCCCAGGATGCCTGGTGCTGACCAGTTCCCTTTGTTTCCCTTTTTCTGTAGGTTAACAGAAATAACTATATATTTACATGTCCAAATTAGACTTGGCACTGAGAATACTGTTCAAACATGAAGGGAAGTCAAACATACCACCATGATGTAAATATTACTCACAACTATTTTTAATTCAGGAAATATGGGAGGGGGGAGCAAAGATGTCTATTTAAATCCGAAAGAAAATACATGGAAACAAGGTTCAGATTGATTCCTTAAGCTGAAGTATCCGAGACAGGAGCTTCCCTGCTGTAAGCTAGACAAATCAGTGGACCAAGAGAGGTGCTTCAGAGAGGCAGGTCAGGCAACAACTGAATTGCTCTGTGGGGATGGGTAGTCTTCTCTACTGACTACCTGGAGGTTCTGGAACTGGATTCACTCAGCCTAAACGTGAGGCATCTGACATCTGTACCTTTTAAAAAAAATCTTGCTCTCGGAGAAGTTAAAAAGCTCCTACCTCTGTTTCAAAGTTATCTCCAAACATAAATAAAGCAGAAGCAATCCTTAAGTCTCCGCGATGATCATTTAACCAGCTTTGGAAGGAAAATGGCTCCATAACAGAAGTGGAATTTAGTGGGAAAGGTGTTTCTTTTGGCAGTTCATCTATTAAAAAAAGCAGATACCTAAAAGTGAAACTTGCTTTCCTTGACCTCTGCTAACCTTTTATTGCTACAAACAGCTTGAAGGGTTCAACTATCTAGTTAAAAGCCAATGACTATGGCATTGCTTCCTATTATAAGAATTTAGTACTTAGGGTTTATAAGACACGTGCCTTATTCGTTTACCTTGACGAAGTTGCTTCTCTGAAGCTGTTCTCAGAGCTGTTGTGTATCTCTGTTTGTTACGAATGCATAAAACAGCATGCAATAGGCTGTAGTTTCTGCTGGCGTGTTCTTCATCCCCTTTTCCACCAGCTTGTGCGCTGATGGAATCACATCTGTCATCTCAATGTCTTTGCTGAGTCACCCTGACATATTCCCATATAAGTGAAAATTAGGTCCACAGAACCAGATTACTCTAGATCTTTCATGTATTCAGCACTGGCCTATATCTTTCTTCTTCCCTGGATGTTTTTAAAGTATTTTAAAGGCTTCATTGACCACAGTGAAACAAATAGGTTATCACAACCTTAAATTTAATAAGGGGCCTTTTTTGTGGTGTTTCAGGAGTAGTAGCTGGATTTAATTTCCAATAATTCTCATTCATAACTGATTTACTTCAAAATAACTGGAGGGCTGAATGCAGTTTCAGTGTAGCTAGTGAAATTAAGATTTGTGCTGTGCACTGCTGCTATATGAAGTAAACTTCTGTTATTCACCAGCCCACAGTAAAGTGCAGAGACAACAAAATCACCTTGGTGGTCCTAGATGGTTTGTTCTGAGGAGCCATGGGAGAATGCCCCTGGAGTAATTTCAAGTATTAACACTACTTCAATGCAGAAAAACTCACTAGATGCCTGTCTCCCAAAGGTATTGAGCTAATAAATTTACAAGCAAGTCTTAGTCTCTCTATTGGTAATAGAGCAAGTTTTATTAAAGTACCGGTGCATTCATTATATGTTTTTTTTTTTGGTGTTTTGTTTTGGATACAGAACTTCATGACTTTTCATGGAAGGCCTTTTTGTACGCGGTCTTTGAGCAGTATGCTAGGAAGGTCAGTGCATGCAGGGCACTGAAAGTACCGGCATTGGTATATAGAATAAGTGCATGTTTAATGGATCAATCCACCAATTATCTGCACTTCCCTTCAGTACATCTGGATGAGATGCTAACTACTTTAGTTGTAGAAACATGTTTTGTCATTCAGATTTCTTCATTATGTTAAATTAGATGGAAGAACTCAACAGGTTTCAGCAAACTCTTTATCTCAGTATTGCCTCTTTCTCGAATGGCATATTTTGTATTAGTAATCTTCAGCAAAAGGAATCTGTTTGAAAGCTTTTTTCCATCAAGCTTTTTTGAAAAAGGCATCCTATTCTGATATTACTTGACTCAAATATGCAACACATTTTTTTTATTAAACAGCAAAAACCTTAGAAATTAAGGAGCACCAGGGGGAAAGAGAATCTTTACATCAGATTTATTCTAATCTGGGCCTGGAAACATTAACAAAATCTAAGCTGAGCACTGTGTGTTTTATTGTTTGATAACACTAAAAAACACTGTTAAGGTTGTTGATTGAAGTGATTTATTTTCACACTGCAGTATATCTGAATTTATTTTATTTTTTAATTTAACTTTCACAGATTCATCAAACCTGCTTTGGACGTAATTGGAAATATTGAGCTAATGACCTGGAATGAGGGAGATCCAGTACTTTGCACTCTGACACATACCAGAGTTGCAAACCTGATGCTTCCTAAATAACTTAGTATTTCTTATCAGCCTAATGGCTGATATTTAACTATTGTTGCATATATCTATGTTTATATGCCTTAATAATGTCTTAGGAAGCGTGAGTAGGTGTATTTCTGGAGTTCTTGTGTTCTGGTAATACTGTGAGACAAAGACAATATAGGTGTAATAATGAAAAGGGTAAAAACATGCTAGCAAAATGTAAGAGGACAGCAATTCTAAGCTAGTCAGCTAAAAGCTTGGTATATTTATGTCCAAGTGATATATCATTAGGTGGAACATCAAACCTAATATTTTCTTACATGTTGTTCTGTTCAGGAGATCCACTTAAAAGAGTTCAATAGTTAGATCCATTTTTGTAGTTCATTACCATTAAACATTCATACTATAGTGTTCTATTCTTTATAGTTTTTATAACTGTTTAGCTTTAGATAAGAATGTGATGACATCATGTTAAGTTGAAAAATACATCATGTTTACTGAATGAATTTATAATTTTTTTTAAAAAAAGGAAATTACACTTTTTAGAGGAAGTCAATTTCCACTAAATAGTAAAGACTATACTGAGATTCAGCATATGAAGTTGTGCAAAAATGGGTAGGAGGGAGCAGCTTGCAAAAACACAGCCCTTGAACATTCAGGAAGAGCCAGTCTCAGGCTTTCCAATGCATGTGTAGAGCCTCCACAGAGATAACGTAGGGGAGAGCTGGCAACTTGCTGGGATTGCCATATTTCTGATAGCAATAAAGTGGATTGTTAAAAGAGGATGGCCACTAGCCTATTAAGTATATGTGGGTGTATTTGCTCACCCCCAAGCCCCATGCTACATGGAAGCTCCCCCTTCCTGACCCCACCAATATCCCTAACCTTTCTTGTCTAAGAATAGAGATCTTCCCATCCTTTTCTCAATGCATTTCTTGAGCCCTGCTATCCCTAAACTTTTCCAATCTCTCTCTCTCTATCCCAGAGCAACTCCCTTCTACTCTCTAATCTTCCCCTTTTTTCCTTTCTCCCATTAGTCTTCCCCATTGACTCCCCTTCTTCCTCCAAGAAGCTCCCAGCCCTCAGCTTTCCCTGCCTTCCTAACTCTTCCTAGGCCTTTCACACCTGCTACTGAGATCCTTCTGCTCTTCCCTCTTATATGCTGCTATTGCTGCCCAAACCCCTGGGTTGTTGGCCTTCAGTATGCACCATTTTCCTCCCCCTGCAGCTAGATGAGCCTATGTTCTTGCATGGTTTTTCACACAGCACAATCCTCATTTAAAAAAAAAAAAAAAAAGTGCCTGGACTTTAATTAAACAGGCTGTGCTTAATGCATCTGCTTAGACCAAAAGCTGATGGGAGCAAAACTCTCCTCTGAAAACTGGGACTTGTTCTGACCTGCAGGTAGTTGCAGCAGGACTGAATGTAGCAGCCCAGAAAGAGAATTTGCAGGAATTATGGACTTTACCCTTCCAGCATTCCTCCTGACACTGGGTACTGTGCATTGCCTCTGGAAGCTCTTGTTCCTCCTGTCCACCTTCTTACCTTTTCTGCTACAGAAAGAGACACAATGCTGCTTTTTCTCTGTTTCTTCCCTTGGCCCCCCCCCCCCCACCTTTTTTTAAAGATGAAGTTCATTGAATTCTTGCTGCAGCCCTTGCAGTTTGTTGCTTCCTTAATTTATACAAAAACATGTGTGAACATTACAGCATGTTTAACAATAAACAGTATACACTGTGCACTAGCATTGGTAACAGTACACACTTGCTACCTGCTATTAGAGTTGCCCTGCCAATTGGACAGGAAAGCTTAGTTTCTGGTAAGAAAAAAGTATAAAGTCATATTTAAAATTCCAGATTCTAAGTTATCAAGAGGTGAAGAGTTACCTCTGAAAATGTTTGTTTTGCATGTTTCAGAAGCACAGCCAAATCTTCAAAAATTACTAATGACCCTGGTGCCAGGCTTTTTGAGTGCATCTGCAGCAGAATCCACAGTTTGGAAACCTGTGGGTTGAAACTGTGAAAGCCATGAATTTTATGTGATCCAATCCAAAACCATGAAGTAATCTAGAATTTTTTTCTTAGGAATTATGGATGCCTCTGGCTTGATTGAAGTTAATACGGTTTAAATAAGTACAATCTTGTTTATTAAAATCTGAAGCCAGAAAGAAGTCACCTAGTTCTAGAGACGATTGCAGAAACTCTGTACAGCTTTGCAGGCAGATCACTTCCTCCAAATCAGCCCCCTTAAGACTGTCAAAGGGAGCTGGATTTTGACTGTATGCTCCACTGGTCCTCTAAAAGTAAGATTTTTCACACTTGCTCTTGAACTCTTAATATTCAGCAGCATGCTCTGAAATATGTTGTTGTAAGCATGATGGTCTAAAAACAGATGCAGAAGAAGAGTTTGAAAGGAGAGGATCTTTGGTCTAATAAATGTTGTTAGCTCTCTTGCAATCTTTGTTTCCTTGACATTTGTAAAGCACCATTTCAATGTATTGTATTTTATGTGCCAACTATGAGACTGATTACATGTTGGCTCTATGAAAAATATTATTTTTCAGTGGCATGCCATCCTTCACTTTTAAGGTACCACAGTCTAGGTGGAAATCTCTTTTTGAACCTTTAAATCAGCTTGTATGCCCCTCTTTGTTATGAAAGCCCCTTCAGTCTAAGTTACAGTACTGCCTCAGTCTGTCCCTGTGTGCCGTGGCCCCACCTCTAAGCTAAGACTTGAGCACGTCTTTATGAATAGCCTCTCTCTCTGTAAAAGAGGAAGACAGCCTTACCCAAACTGGAGTACTTAAACCCTCTTTGTTTTGTGCTTATCCTTTCACTGAGCTTAAAATGGTCCAGACGAGGGGTAAGGAGCTCACATATTATTTTAGAATTGTACGTCCATTTCTTTTTATCCACTTTATAATCATCCCTTCCACCTCTTAAAGCATACTATATCATAATGAATAGTTGTGATAGGACAGTTTTGCACTGTTTCAGGTTTAATTGCCAATTCTAGCAATAATATATACCTTGAGATGTTTTCCCCAGATACGCCAGCCTAATTCTTATGAGAAGTCCAGCTTCATTCTCAACATTAACAGAAATGTCAATGAGACTAGTAGGAGTTTAATATGTCCACAAATCAAACTAGTTAAATGATACTTACCAGTGGACTGAGGAGTATAATTTCAGGCCCTTTTGGGGAAAAAAGAAAAGGTAGCCTCATTCCATACAAAGGCACTGAAAATGACTGATTTCTTTGGGGGGA